CAAATGTAACCATTGGTGTATCTCACACCAATGTGAAACCCATTGTCGTAATCAAGTGGCTACATGTAGCCACTTGCGTGTAACCCCGTTACATACAGAATATGAGCAAAAGAGGCCTACCAAGGTCGATGCGGTCCAAATGGCGCATTAGTTCCTCTTCGCCGACAAAATAATCGATGCCATGAGTGTCCTTCTTGGTCTTTCCCGGCTTTATGTAGGTGAAGGTATCCGACAGACCAACAGGGCGTCTGGAAGTCCAGCCTACTTTCTTCAGCTCAGCCCAGCGGGCCCGAAAACCTGACATCTGTGGGCTTGCCTGCGATTTCTTGAGTTAACGGAAATGTGTGGCGTCGGAGCCACGAATTGCGATATTTTGTAGAGTGTGTCACACACCACTACATCCTCTAAATATTTATATTTAGAGAATTGGATAGCCGCGAACAGCGACGAAGTCAACGAATGCGACACGCAGGCACCCCGTCCCCTAGTTGTCTTAAAAATTGTATAGACTCATACAAACTTTAAGCTAAAAAATTTTATCGTGTATGATCCAGGATAAGCATTTTTGATATCGCGTCTGATACAGGCCTTCGCGTTCAAGGGGTTAATCGACGATTACGACGCAACGACAAAGTGAAAACCTTTTTGCGAGTCAAAAGGGGTACTATCAAATAGTACCCCGGGTATTGTTCTGAAATATCCGTTAATATATGTGACTAGAGGTGTCGCGGTAGACCTCCTTAAGCTTCAGGGTACAAACCGTACCTCCCCTCCTGTTCCAACCTCCCCAACTTTCACCAATTTCAAATATGTCCTCATAATGAAATCTTGTTTAACTCTTCTACGCCGATCGTTCCGGATTCTCCGGTATTTGGTTTTAGGATTGAAAATATTCAGCGTTCTCCGCAGCAGATTTGGGATGGAAGGAAATCCGCATATAAAAATTTGTATGGGATAAGATATACCAGGTCAAATGCGGCATCCGTTGGCGTTGAGACATGAGATTTTCGAGAAGGGGTTAGGGTTACAGATATAAGAATCGAGGGGAGTTCCCAGCCTTTCATTCCAAGATTCGGGCTCGAGGAGAGACCTGCACTCTAGAAGAATGGCGGAGCCGTATGTCGACCCGAAAACGTTCCAATTGATGTGGTACCAGCTGACCAAGCAAGGATGGAGTTTCCGGAAGTCCGTCGGCCTTAGCAACGACCAGCGTTACGTTCCACCGGATGGGAATGTGAAGGGAACTGAAGGCGTCGACGTCTTCGTCGGTAAGTGTTCTTTTATTGTTTTTCTGTGTGTTTACTAAATCGATTTTGTTGTAGGGGAGAAAAGCTTGGTAAAGCACTGTATGCAGCAAGGGTGGTTCCCTGAGTACCTCCGCGCTCGACGACCCCAAGCTCGACGCCTCCCCCCCCCCCCCCGAAACGCCTTCGCACGCTGTCCGTGTTACGGATAGTGGTCAATTTGCAGTTCCGGATGTGATGGAAGATGTTGTGGAGAGTGCTGAAGATGATATTCCGGAGGAATTCCAGCGAGAGGCGGCCCGTGCTCGTGATTCACGCTTTGTTACGCTTGACGACTTCGACTCGGGGGACTTTCTGACCGCATTGCGTCGAGACCGGCTA